AGGCCGTCCAGGCGCTCGTCATGGTACACCCTCAGCCCCTGCGCATCAACCTCTGAGTACAGCCGGCGGCTGTGCTTGTAGACCCTGGCGGCGACGGGGCGCGCAGCCGCGGGGGCGGGGAGGACAAGATGTGATGAAGACGGCGCCGCCGCGCCGCGATCACTGCGGCAGCAGGGGCGCAGCTCGTGCGTGCAGGCGCCATGCTGCTGCCCGTGGGCAGTAGCTTGCTCATCGCCGCCTGCTTTGTTTGAATTGTGATTCGAACGCTGCCCTCTGCTTGCCGCCCACCTGTGCGACAGCTCCAGGAGCTCCTGTGTCGTGGGCACACGGCTGACCCAGCGCGGCGCCGCTTCGAATTCGTCCATGGACTCAGCAGGCTGCGCCGCCAGGGCGGGGCCCGCGACAGCTCTGCACGGGTGCGACGGCGGGCGCAGGGGACGCAGGGCGCAGATGGTGGGGCGTGAGCTGCTCGCCACCCTAACACAACAGCTGTGGGGGACGGAGCAGGGCAGGGAGCACGCGCCAGCAGGCGCAGCGTCCGCGTCGCTCCTCGCGGTGCAATAGCACAGTGGCTCACACTGAGTGCTGCATTACTGCGATTCAAATATTTCAACGGCTCTGTTCAGCGCGTATGGCCCTGGGCACGGCGTAGAGCGGCGAGCTTAGCTGTCCTCCGCCACTACTGATGTCGTTCCCGCGGTCAGAGCATGTTGTTGACAGTGATATCAAATATAGCGCTGCTTTGGACCTCGGTCAGGGTCCTGCCTAAGATGAAGGGGATTGCCTCGACGCTGTGCGGGCCTTTGGAGCGAAAGAAGCCCGATCACATAGTTGCTGATGCATGCAAGTGACTGATCATGGCCATCAGGTGTCTGCATGGATGCCAAGTCACCGCAGCAGCGTCACCCAGCCCTGCACCCTGTCCTTGAGTCATCGGCTTTGGAGGTGGCGTCGTGTCGGTTCTCAAACGGATCCTGCGCAATGCAGTCGCAGCCGATTTCGCAGATCAACGATATTGCATACAGCCAGCCGCTCACAAGATATGCCAGCAGCTAAGCACCCGTGGGGAACGCAAGGCCGCCGCCAGCCGGTGGCACCGAAACCGCCGCCGCCGCCCCCGCATCATCAATCACGAGGCGGCCACGAGGCAGGCGTTGAAGCCGTCCGTGAGCTCCTTCCTGTCCAGGTTCTTGCCGATGAAAACGACCTTGTTCACGCGCTTCTCGTCTGTATTGGGGGCGACAGGATCACACGAAGTCGAAGTGAGAGGCAGATAGCACCAGGCGAGAGGCTCGCTGAGAGCATGTTTAGCTTTCAATCAAGTGCAGAGGTGAGGGGCGCGGTCAGGCAGGGGCACGTGACCAAGCGCGTGCGGCGAGCGCTGCGCGCCGGCGCGCTCACCGGGCGCCCAGGGGCGGCCGACGCCCTCCGCACTGCTTGTGAATTGCAGCATCATGTGCACCCCTTGGAACACGTGCCTTGAGTGGAGAGGGGGTGGAGACGAGTGGGGCAGATGGGAGGGGACGATGGGGTCAGGCGTTTACAATGTTGGTATCAGAATCGAGAGGGACAATGCGATTTAGCGCCAGCCGCCTCCAAGCAGGGCGCCAGGGAATCGAGGCGCTGCTCAGGCGTCAGCAGAGTCCCCCAGCCTGAGCCGCTTGTTGTGAGAGTGCTCGCGGCAGCCGGCGAGTGGGCCCACACCTTCACCACGAAATACTGCTGGCCCAAGCACACCGCTTCCAGGGCCCGCCCACCCCAAACCCGCGTGATGAGGCACGCCCGACCCACAGGCACGCATCAGGTTGTTGGCATGTGGCGCCCACCTGTCGTCTGAGCCCGCGATGGAGAGGATCCCCTTGGAGCGGAAGAGGTCCGCGCCGCGGTCCTTCAGCAGCGTAGATAGCCATGCGTTGAGCTTCGGCATGCTGCAGTGGCCCTCCTGTCACCAGACCGAACGCCAGGGTCGGTTTCGGGCGTGGCGTGGCAGCGAGGCGCGGTGAGGAGTCGATCGTGCCCGATGGTATGGCGCCGCCTGGCGTGGGGGCGGGCGTGGCGGCTGTGCTGCCCCTGAGCGGGCCAGCCGCCGCGTGAACGACCGCACTTCGCCGCCCCGTGCGCGCTGCAGCATGCGCAGGATCCTTTGCAAAGCCCCCAACTCTGGTCAACCCCCCTCAGGCTCAAAATTGCCCGAACACACCACGCTGACTCACCGCCTGGATGCCGACGCTGGTGACTCGCGAGTCGTGCTTGTGGTCCAGGTGGTGCCCGTGGTGCCCCGCCTCCTCCCCGTGCTGCTGCTGCTCGCCGCCGCCGCCCTCTTCATGGTGCTCATCATGATGGTGGTGGTCTGGGTGATCGCACCCCTCCTCCTTGCACTCCTTTGCATGGTCGTGGCCGTGCTCGTGCTCGTGGTGATGGTGGTGGTCGTGGTCGCAGCCCTCGCCCTTGCAATCGTGGTCATGGTCGTGGTCGTGATCATGGTGGTGGTGGTGGTGGCCGTCGCCCTCGTCCTGTGGACCGCGGGGAAAGGGAGCAGGAGAGGAAGGGGGGGGGGGATGTGTGCAGGGGGTGGAGGATGGGGTCTGTGCAGCGATGGACACCCCCCAACGATGCCGAGTCATTTGGATTAGACGGCCAACACGGGTAACGGTTTGGTGTGGCGCCCGGGCCTACTGTCCGAAGATCAATAGACCTGCCGCGCACCACAAATCGGCCCTCGGCCACTCTCCACGCGCCCCAGCCACACCCCTCCAGACCTCGCCCGCCCCCTCACCCAGCTGCCCAGCAGCTGCCCATCGGCTACCCACCAGGAAGTCCGGGTCCTTGACCAGCAGCCTGTCCAGGCTGAAGGCGTGCACCCCCAGGACCTTGTCAAGGTCTACTGCTGCGAAGCTGCACTCGATGATGTCAGCGCCGGCGTTGATGGCCTGGGGATGCGCAGCAGGGGGGGGCAGGTGTGCGCGCCAGTGTGTATAGGCGCCGGTGTGTGTGTGTGTGTGTGTGTGTGCGTGTGTGTGTGTGTGTGTGTGTGTGTGTGTGTGTGTGTGTGTGTGTGTGTGTGCGCGCCTCTGTGTGTATGCTCACGCGCATGCGCTTGTGGGTGGGTTCATGAGCGCGCGTGCATGAGCATAGACAAGGTTCAAGGCTGCTGACCCAAAACACACGATATTGGGACACCACATGCAGCAGATCAGCTGTCTCACAACCCCTCCTACCATCCCAAACCCCTCCAACACTCTCCTCCGCAACCCCTGCGATCCGAGCAGCGCGCGCCCCTGAACCGCAACCCCACCTTGATGCGCCGCTTGACCAGTGCCAGGTGGTCCTTGCTGACGAGGTCAACCTTGTTGAGCAGGATGCGGTCCGCAAACGCCACCTGCTGGACTGCGCAAAGCGCGGACGAGGGCGTGGGAAGCGGCGCCACGGCGGGCGCCGCGGCGGGGCGGGGCGACGATTATTGTTGAGCTGCCGGCATAGAAGGGGGTGTGTAACCTGGCGTGAACAAACACTGCTTTTGGCAGGCAGCTCGAGCAACTTCGAAACGCAAGCGCGTGGATCTCGTCCTGCCAGGCCCTGCACCTCCCCGTCGCCCCGCTGCCCTTGCAGAGACATCACGGCCCTCCTACTCCCCACTTGCCAGCTCGCCCGCTCACATGCCTACCACCTGACCCCTTCAAACACGCACGCGTGCGGACACCCCCCCCCCCCACACACACACAGCCACACGTGCATGCGCATGTGTGCGCACGCACGCACACACACACACACACACACACACACACACACACACAAACACGCACGTGCGCGCGCACCCTCTCCCCGCCCTCACCAGCCTCGTTCACGACGTCCTCCGGCTTCTCCTCATCCAGGTGCTGCAGCAGGTGCTTTGCATCCGCCACTGTCAGCACCGCGTCCAGGCGGGTCG